CTGGGGAATTTAATACCTAGAGTTGCCTAAGGCAAAAGGTAGGCTGGTCCTCTCATGAGTCCTCACTCCAGGGAAGCTTGTGGGATCTTCAGAGAACTTGCAAGCCCACCTCTGCCAGCTGGAAGACAGATGTTGCCCTATGACCTGCCCTTAACGACCAAGGAGGACCTTGGGGTAGCTGTCTGGACAGCCAGCAAGTAATTCTCTGTCAACTTTTAATCAATAACTCAGGTAAAGTTTATTCCTTTCAGAACTCTGACACTGTTGGACAAGTAATAGCTTTGCCAGCTTAAAGGCAGCAACCAGGGCTTCAGCTGCTTTCAGTTCTCTATAAAATTCAGGTAACAGACCTCACTCTCTTAGACCCAAACTAAGTCCAAACACAGGTCACCTTGTTACCAGACTTTAAAAAAGATAAACTCACAAAACAGATTTCAGTATAACTTCTTCCCATTCCTTTGTTTACAGGAACTTATTTTACAGCGACTGTGCTCAGTGGTCGGCTACTTGGACCTAATGGCAAATTAGATAAAAGCTGTTTTAAAATGCAAAACTTAAGATGTGAGGGCCTAAGAATGTTTGAGGGTCCAAGAAAGTGTTTTAAGGCATGCAATGCAAGTTATGAAGGCCTGAGGATAAGAATGTTTCAGGGTACAAAAAAAGTGATTTAAAGTGCATAAACGCGAGTTACAAAGGTCTGAGGACAAAACAGGCTTAAGCACTGATAAAACAAAGATGATTTGAGATGTTTAAAAGAATAAAATGTGTTCCAGATTTCTCTTTCAATATGCTACTGTTATATTAAGACTCCAAAATTTCATACTCTCAGCATGAATTGACAAAATTCTAATAAGCTATTAATCTAGCTCTGGCAGAATACTACCACAGTCACCATAGCCACAAGCTCAAGATTTCAACTTCCCTTTGCTTGTTTCCTAACTATAGACCTCAAAGATGCTTTCTACTGCACAGAAAACACCTGTCACAGTTTTCTGGATAAAGAAACAATGTTAATGCCTTCAGCCAAATCCATACATGGTACAAGTATACTGCCATTTCTACAGTATAAACTTCAGGACAGATTATAAATAGTTAAAATGTTTAAAACTTACATTTTTTCACAAACTGAAAAAAAAATTCATGTAACCTTCAGAGAACTGAGGAAGTCCCAGGACTTAGATCCACTTCTCACAGATCAAAAGGACTACAAATAAGTACACCGAGACATACCCTACCTGTCTTTTCCGACGGGTGATGTCTCTCTCCCTCTCCTGTGTCTGAGTTTTGCCTCAGTATTGTAAAAAATTCTTTTGTTCATGCCTAATGCTTACTTCTTGATATAAAACAGGGAGTTTAGAAACTGCCATTGCTATAGCTACAGAAGTCAGATCTCTGGCTGTGGTCACTTATAGCTAATAAACTTTGTTTGCCCTATGGAGGTTTTTTTACTTCTTTTTCTAGAGTAAAGTTTGCTTCTAGTTTAGTAGACTTTGGTGGACTATCCCCCACATCATTGTCTGACCCCTGGACCCAACACTACTTCAGCCAGGGACAAGATGAAAAAGAGATTGCAGCCAACCCCAGGGAAACTTTATTCCCTAGACACAGGTGTAACTAAGAACAATTTGGGACTTTGGAGAGATGTTTGTTGTTGTTGCTTTGGGTTGTTTTTATTCCATCTTGGCATAAATAAGGCACTCCTGGGAACTGGCCCTGCTTGTCACTAATGTGCCCCTTAGCAACCTAGGTTCTCCTTTCTCCTCCCACCTGGCATCAGATTTCAGGAAAGAATGAAGGGACAGTATCTTGTAGCAGCACATATGAGATTATAGAGTTATTTTCCTTTATCTTGGCTATGACCCTAATTTTTAGCTTTTTGTTTTAAGTCCAAATATTAACAATATAAAACATTTTATAAGCACAAGTGTCACATGGCCTTACAAATTTAAATATTTTAAAAACAATTCTTAAAAATAATGAGTATGATTTAAAATCTGTAACAAAAGTTATCTTAAAACTGGTAACTCCATCTGGGTGGTCGTGGCACACGCCATTTGAGGACAGTCTGGGAAGAGCTAATTCCAGCACAGGCTCCAAAGCAGTTTCAAAATCCAAAACCAAACAAACAAACAAACTGGTAACTCCCGATTAAAACTGCTCTAGAAAACACCGTGTAGTTTGCCATCATCTTACAGCACAGCCCATTGGCAGTCACCATCATGGCTAAGGTGGAAGAGAGAGGTCATATGACTTCACTGCCATCTTAGATGGAGGTGACCATGTAGAAATGTGTCCACCAGGAGACAGTAGGGCACCAGGTTATTTTGGATATGGATAGATTTCTGTGTGATCATCCCTGTTATGTCCTAAAACCAAGGTTTATAAAAGATAGAATTTAAAACAAGGCCTGTTTAATGAGGTATTAAAGCTGCACATCCATACATTCATGTACAGGGATGTACATTACTCAAAGTAATGCCAGATTTAATGGCATAAGAATATTCCCTTATTATTGATTTTAATAACACTAAATTGTTTACAATGTTAACTTGACTTTGCTTATGATTATATCTTTGGACCACAGCTGAAAACTAGAGAATTGTAGGACCCAGCCATGACAGACTCAATAGAGACCAGCAGGCACCAGCACTCAAGGGGAAAGGACCTAATGGTCCAAAGAAAATGCCTAACGTTCCAACCATTGCAGATAGGATCCCCTGATGTCCCTTAACCAGGACCCAAGACAAATGTCAGCCAATCAGGGGTCCTGAACCTTAAAAATCCTTCACTCCAACCTATGCTATGATAAAAAAACAAAACGAAAACAAAAAACTCCATAGCTGCACTCAAGGCTCTCTGCTTGTGTTCCTGTGTATTTGAACCCAGTCCTCTGGAATAGCGGTTATTGTTCCTAACCACTGAGCCCTCGTCACTATTAGAGGGCAGTAGCCACTTTCTGGGCAGAGTAGGTTCTGGCTAGATCTACACCACTTCCTTTTGGTTATTACAAGTAGTCATCTCCTTAGACCTAGATACTGCTTCCATTGGAAGGAACCAAAAATCGTTTTCAAGAGCTGGGGAAACACTTGGGTGTGCCAGTAGAAGTTCTGAATAACAACAAAACCATACTATTTGACAATCCATGAGCATAAATGAGTTTTGGGCCTATGCAGAAACACTTGGCTCAAATTGTCGAGGAGGTACTGTGGATCTGGCTCATCCACACTTCCTGGAAAAGCCCATCTTTCTTCCCAAAGAGCTACATTTGGTTTGTGAGCACCAGGGAAACCCTATTTCACTGGAGGTCAAGATGGGTGAGACACTATCTCACCCTGAAGCTTTATGGGGTAACATGGAGTCCACTTCAAGCTCATAGTTCTCACTGAATGAGGATTTAAAACACTTCAGAGGATTTAACAGTTTCACAAATAGATACGGTGACATTTGAAGAGAAGAAATTAGGTTGAAAGAATGGTTTCATGTGAGATCATCAGAAAGTACCCTGAACCTGTTACTGAATTCCCCCAAGTCTCCCTGAGGGTGATCTTTACCACCCTCTAGATTAGGGTCCCCTTGAGTCCACACAGTTTTCTCCAAAGAGAATGGAAACCCCCGGGTTCCCTAGACTTTTTATCCAGCCTATGGTTCCCTCATCCATGAACCTCCTAGAGGATGCTCGCACCATGAAGTGTGAAACCATGCTGAATGAAGGGACTTGGGTACCCATGGTAGCTTCCAGACCAAGTTATAGTGACAACAGTGGTATCTTATAACCTTCCCTGCAAGAATCAAGAACTGGAAGTATGTTCCTTACCAGCTGGGGTCATTTGTCAGGTATAGCCTGAATTCACCATGTGTCACTGAGATAATGGTGTAGGGTAAGAGAATAGGAACAATTTTTATATTTCCCCAATAAACACAAAGGAAAATCAGAGACTTTAAAATAATCACAACGAATCTAAGGTTTGGTTCTAGTTATACTTCAAGGGGGTATAAAGAGTCCAAGAATAAGAATATGTGCTATTTTTGTAGTCTTCTTATATTTGTTGTATGTTCTTATATATATATGCCATATTTATCATATTCTCATTACATATATATATTTAATAAGAATATACAATGAATTTAATAAGAGTATAAAAATGTAGGTTCCAGAAATAGGAATGTGGAAATAAAGAAACATAAAGTTGTGTGGGAAATGAGAGCATTGTCAGCACTTTTCTCAGCATCTTAAGGATTAACTGTTAACAGTGGGTTACTTTGCTTTAACACCCATCTGCAAAGATGAAGCCGCCCTCTACAAACTGTCACCTTTTAGATAACCCCCAGGCCACTCATGACCAGCAAGTGATGTGAGCTGAGCTAACCTTTAAGGGATGGGATGTATGTGACTATTTGGTTTTGCATTGTCCTCTACCTTTCCCTGCTGAACAAAACTGGCAGTATCAGAAAAGTGCAGAGCTTCAATAAACACCATCAGAATGTGCCAGAGAGAAACAATGGGCTAAACACAAACACCAGTTTAACTGAAAAAAAAAATGTGAATGAAAATTGTTAAAAAAAAAAAAAAGCAAGTTGTGTCTGGGTTTTATCTCAAGATTGCAAAAATCCTTTTGTTAATACCTAATGCTTGCTTCTTCCTATAAAATAGGGGGGACGAGGGTGATTGTTCTCAACCCCTGAACAAAATCGCCTTCAGCCAGGGACAAGATCAAAAAAGGATTACAGTCAGTCCCAGGTCCACTCTACTCCCTAGATACAGGGGTAACTGAAAACAGTTTGAGTTTGAGGAGAGTTTTGTTTTTGCTGTCGCTTTGGGTTTCTTTTTTCCCATCATTGCATAAAGAAGGCACTACTAGAAACTGGCCCTGCTTAGTACATACGTGCACCTTTGTAATCCACTGGTTCCCCTTTCTCTTCCTCCCTGCCACCAGATTTCAGAAAAGAAGGAAGGGAGAGTATCTCACAGCAACAAATTTGAGAGTAGAGAAGTATTTTGCTTTCTCTTTCCCCAATTTTGCGTCCCCATCAGGGCGGAGCCCTTCCAGGAGAGTTTAAGTTCTCAGGTTGACTTCAGCCCTCAGCTGTGGGCCACAACACACAGTCTGGAAGCCTGTGAGGATATCAATGGATCAGAGCTCACCCTCCGAGGCCCCTGGCCCAAGTTGGGAGATGGAAGGTAGTAGCTTCATCAACAGGTGGGTCGTTCTCCCTCTGTAGTTTTGTCCTCTGACAACATCGATGATTTCATGTCTTCATTAAGCTTCAATCAGTCCACACTCCTGGACATGAAGAAGTTCTGCACTGTAGTTAGAGAGAAGAGAGAAAACAGAGAGAGAGAGAGAGAGAGAGAGAGAGAGAGAGAGAGAGAGAGAGTCAAATAGTGACAAAGATAGATAGAGACACAGAGAGATACAGAAAGAGAACACCTGGAGTTTTTAAAACTGAATAAGTTATCCACTGGCAAGGCCAGATTGATATAATGCGCACAGTCATCACATTCTTGCTTGCAACACTGTCAGCTGTCAGGAGACTCTGGTCACAGCTGTCAGGCACTCCTGGTGACCTCTGTGACATGATTCTGTTGTTATCTCATAAAATCTGGGTGTTCTCAGTCCCTCTGCCTCTCTCTTCTTTATCTAAGTCACCTCAGGGAAGAAATTCAAACAGCAGAGTCTCAGGGTCAGCAGCTGGCTCCCCTCTGTCCTGGTCTCCTACCTGTCTGGCAGGATTTGTCACCTAGGAAGCTGTCCCCAGACTCACTCCTGGTCTGAGCTCTCACTGTCAGATTTTGATCCAAGAAAGAAAAAAAAAAAGGCAAGAAAGGCCCTGGCCAGCAGCAGCTAGGACAAGCTGCACTTTTTTTTTTTCACTTCAGCACCCTGTCCTAGGAGGTGACTCCTCTGACAAGGACATGGCCGACCTCTGTCTGCTCCACAGTGGTGATCAGATGTGCTCCTCAGAGACAGGGCCAGTCAGGGTGTTTGCTCCTGCACAGGAAGTGATAAATTTCCAGTACTGCCGTTGAACCTAGGACCTGGACTGTGCTTGAATACATATATAAATGTCTTTAGCTGTGATATCCAGAAGATCTGACAGATTTTCCCAGGGGATATGAATTTGGGGAGATTGACGCACCTTGATGTGGCAACAGGGGACAACTGATCCCCTAGTGTCCTATTGTCCAGTCTGGGCAGGGTCTTGGCACTGGTTTGAAGTACAAAGCAGCTCCTTCTGTGTGGCAGGCTTTGCCACATTCAATGGAACCTTCCAGGGGCAAGTGCTTTCCCTTTCCTTGAGGAGATAGAGGATGCTGCTAGGAGCTGGGTTGTCTCTATCATGAGAAGCTATTTTATTAAATGGCCATATTCTCAAATCCCTAAATCATTTGAAGATCAGGGCATAGTTATCTGTTAGGTATATCTGAATTAGGCAAATGTTGTTTAAGTAATGAGGTAAATTTCGATGTATGGTTTTAAATTACTTACAGCTATCCAGTGTTGGAAAAAGCAAGAAGATTAGGCCTTGTTATACCCAGATCATGGAGTCTCCTCAAAACCAACAAGGAAACCAATCCCATATGTAAAAGCAAAGGACTTTTATTCAAGTTTGAACTTGGACTCTCTGTGTCCAACTCATTGGCACAATCAAAGAGCCTTGAGCTCAGTTGGAGTGGGGTTTCTTATCATAGCAGAGGTTAGGGTGAGGGTCTTTATGGTTCTGGACCCCCAATTGGCTGATCTTTGTCTAGGGGTGTCCTGGTGAAAGGGGATGATCCTATCTACAATGATTGGAATATCAGGTATTTCCTTTGGAATGTTAAATACTTTCCTCTTGAATGGTCCATTCCTGGGTATGCCTGGGTGGTCTCTGCTGATCCTGCTATGACCTAACCCTACATTCCCCCTTTATAAGTACCAATGACAGGACCCAATCATGGGTCCTGCTTTCCCAGGGGTTTAAGAGAATGGTATTAGGACCTAAGAACCATTAGCTAACAGATTTTTCTAGGACAGTGACCATCCTCTGCTACCAGGCCCTGTAGCTCTGATCTTTGAGCACAACCAAATTATAATCCTGAATGTCCTCTTTCGTTCTGTGGTTCTGTGTAAAGAACCAAAGTGTCTTATCTTATTGTAGAACTACTGTAGTTAATACGTTCATTAACTGCTACCGTTTATCCTTGTAACTGACTCTCTTTGGGACTCCAGTCCTGCCATACATTTAAGGTCCACCTCTTCTTCCCAATGCTGGGATTCAAGGCATTTACCACCACCACAGCCCAACTGGGAACTTTCACTTCTACAATGATTTAAACACGTTCTTCTAATGCCCATGGCACTTATGTCAGGTTTTTCTCAGTAATGAGAGGAAACACAGGTTGCTTGAATCTGCCCTCAGTACAGACCTGTGGGCCATCGATTGTCTGAAGCCCCTTTTCACTGTTTACGGCTTTAGTTCCGGAAAAAAACCCGTGAGTTCTTTTTTCTCCATAAGATTTCTCACTTATATGTTTATTGTAACCTGTTTTTATTTTTGTTGTTGTTTCATTTTTTTTATTGATCCCATTTAAACATTCCTGACTTATAAGCAGATGGAAACTCTTATCCATTTGGAAACTCCCCCAGTCATTATGTCTCCATATATTACTTTCTTATATTTTTGTTTGAGTCTAGCCTTTAATGACTGAGTCATTTCTCTAGTCCTATGTATATTATGTTCTTATTCCTTCTATTTCTATGTCTTTCCTTCCTTCTTCCTACATTCCAATGTCTTATAGAGTATTAGGTTTCTTTTCTTCTGAAAAAAAATTCTCACTTATATTTTATGTATATGAGTATTTTTAACCTACATGTATGTAAATGTATCACATGTGTGCTTGGTGTTCACAGATGGCACAAGAGGGTGTCAGATCTCTTGAAACTTTATAGATGGCTTAAGCAACCATATGGGTGCTGGGGATTGAACTCACATTCTCTGAGAGAGCAGTAACCACTCTTACCCACTGAGGTATAACTCCATCCTAGAGAGGAACAGGTTCCATTCTGACATTTTAATACAAACATATCAGTGTTCATCTCTCTAGGACTGAATGGACGAGGCAGGTTCCATGTCCAGACCGTCTCTGATATTCTTTCCTGAATTATTTTTATTTATATTTTTTGTTATACATTAGTTGAAGTTTTTATTGCTCTGTCTTCTGGATTGCCCCTTCACCAATAGTGTGTTGTTCAGTTTTTCCAGTCTTCTCTTAAAACCTTTGATCAAGTTCAAGAAATCAGGGAGCTCAAGAGATGGCTTAGCAGTTAAGACCAATGACTGCTTTTCCATAGGCTTGGATTCAATTTCCAGCACCAATACAGTTGCTCACAATTGTCTGTAACTCCAGTTCTAAAAGGTTTGGCACCCTCTTCTGACCTCCAAGAGCACCAAAATGTGATGCCTAGACATACATGCAGACAAAACACCCATGCACATAAATACACACAAAATAGAAACAATAATTTAGAAACCTGACATAGAACTCAGAGTGCCAGGCTCAGCAACAGACGCCTATGTCCATCAGCCCTTATTTTTTTTTTATGAATATCAGAAATCTTGTGTCAAGTACGTGGGTCCTCCAGGTGTTAGTCTTAGAGAGTCCTCTTTTCTTCTGCAAGGCAAGGACAATAATAGCGCCCATCACCTTAGCCATCCACTGTAGGCAGAGGCCGCTTGTTTATTCCTGCTGCTCAGACTCAAAATAATCACTCAGAAACTTATGATACTGTTTGGCCGATATGTTTAAGCATATTGCTAGCTAGCTCTTACATCGAGAATTAACCCATCTCCATTATTTTATGTTTTACTATGAGTCTCATGGCCTACCAGCAAGATTCCAGCTGGCAGTTCACATCTTTCCCCTCTGGAAGCTACATGGCATCTCTGGCAGCGGCAACATGGCAACTTGCAACTCTGCCTTCTTTCTCCCAGCATTCAGTTCAGCCTTCCCCTCCTAGCTCTATTCTGCCCTATCACCGGCCAAAACACCTTCTTTATTCATTAAGCAATAAAAGCAACACATGTACAGAAGGACTTCTCACACCAAACCAGGAGCTGATTTGAGTTAAGACTTGCATGGTTCAAGAAGATCTGCTGAAGCTCTGATCTGCTCTGATCTTAGGTGGGGACATTCAGGAACTTTAATGATGACATGAAAGTCAACTCTTCTCTGAACCTCAAAGGTTCTGTGTTCTGTCCTCACTCTCCTGCTTTAGTCAGATTTCAGATTACAGTTCTTGACAAGAAAAACATTCCAGTTGACTCTCTAACTTTGAATTCCATGTCCTAAAACCCTAAAACATCCTGTTGGCTTGTCTGTTTTCCAGCTGCAGGCCTCTGTTTGTGCCGAGTCTAGATTTTCAGCCCTTAGATGCATCTGGAATGGACAAATATGCCAAGTGAATAAAAAAATTACAGATGTGGAGTCAGCCTGACACTTCCTTCACAGCTGTCAAATATTGAGCCATTTTTTGGGGTTCCTTGTAGTTATCTGTAAATCTTTTTTTTTCTTTTTTCTTTTGCGTGAACATTCCATAGGTCATTCACCTTTTCTTTTCTTTCTAGAGGTTTTTGATATTTGTGTCTAGTGTATTTCTAAAAATTTTGTTTTTCTATTTTTAATTGAGGGGAGAAGAGAGAATCAGAGATAGATAGATAGATAGATAGATAGATAGATAGATAGATAGATAGA